TCAGCCTCTCAAGCACTGGGATTATTAACATGTGCCACTATACCTAGTTCAGCTTTAATTACATTTATGTATATATTTATGTATGTATGTATGTATGTATGTATTTTTGTGTTAATGTGGGGGTGGAAGTCAGAAGGACAACTCTTTTATCCAGCACTTAGTTTTGCTTTTGATACTAGTGGGGAGAGTAGGAAATAGGAGTGGTGACTTTTTTCCTTTCTCACACCTCCCAGTGGATACTTTGGAAATCTGTTTGACACAGTAGAGTTGTTGTGCTGTACTGTGCTGTTCTGTTTTGTATGTTGTTGTGATTTTTTGTTTTGTTTTCAAACAGGTTCTCATTAGCATACACTGAGACTGTCAATCTTTTTTTTTAAAATGTGTATGTATGTGAATGTATGTAATACCTGCAGAGGTCAGAAGAGAGCATTGAGTCCCCCGGACTCAGTGGGTTATGGAAGGTTCTTAGCTGCCATGTGGGTGCTGGAAACCAAACGTAGGTCCTCTGCAAGAGCAGCCAGTGCTCTTAATTGCTGAGCCATCTCTCTACCTCCCAGACTGTCAATCTTGAGTGCTGATATTACAGGCATGCTACCACTGTGCCTAGCTTGACCTCTTTGTTTTATGTTCTTTATGGATATCTGGTACATGTCCCTCCTATACCCCATCTATATCTCAGACTTAATTGTATGTTTATTTGGAAGCATCTGCTTTATGTTCATCTACCCCTTCTATCTGGAGCAGAGTCAGACTCTGGCATGTCCTTTTTATCCTTCCCCTTAAGTCTCAAAATTCAATTAATTGTAGTAAAAAGAGATGGCAAGCCAGGCAGTTGTAATAACTGAAAAGAAAATGAATGAAAAGCATACTAGATCTGAGTTAAGTAGCAAAGAAATGAAAATATGAGGAAGTTAGACAGTAGTAATATAAGGTCTCATGCACACATGTATACATTCCTATATATATAATCTTATAAAGAAGAGAATGACAGATGAAGGGAGATTATATTATTCAGAAGATAGTAATTGACAGTTTTCCCAATTTAGATACAAATACTTTGGAAATTTTGGCGTTAAACATGGTTGTAAGCATTGATGGTGCACACCTATAATTCCAGTATTTGGGAGCCTGAAGCAGGACTACAAGTTTGAAGTTCTCCTGGGCTACATACTAAGAGCCTCTCAGAGGAGTAAAGAAAAAGTTGTTCAAACATATTACTGACAGTAACAAAGTAAGCATCAAAATGATTCACATTCACTAAATTGACAAAGTTAATGTGTGATACCTACCACGTGCTGCTGAACATTCAAAAGCAGGGGTAATCTTCATATACCAGGAAGTGTCTAGACCATTTAGGCTGCTATAACAAAACTTAGATGGAGTTAATGTATAAATAATAGAAATCCATTTTTTCACAGTTCCAAAAACTGGGAAGTTCTAGGTCAAGTGGCCAGCAGGTTCCATGCCTGGTGGAAATTTACTCTGCCTCAGAGTGTCTAGTTCTTGCTTCATCCTCACATGGTAGAAAGGACTGAAGGGATTAACTTGTTTCCTCAAGCATAAAAAGTCATCACTTAAAAGACCTATACTTCCTAATATCATCATAATGTGAATTATTTAGACCGTAACAGAAACACATGGGAGGCTGGGCATGGTGGTGATGCCTTTTAGTCCTAGCACTTGGGAGCAGGCAGATCTTTGTGAGATCAAGACTAGTCTGTCTACGTAGGGAGTTCTATTTGTTACATGATTAAGTCTGTTGGTGACAAAAAATTATAGATCATGCAGAATGTTATTAGGTGTTTATATTCATAATTGAAGGAAATGTTTTATTTAAAATTGATGAAAATTGAGCTGGGCATGGTGGCGCACACCTTTAATTGCAGCAGAGGCAGAGGCAGGCAGATCTTTGTGAGTTCAAGGCCAGCCTGGTCTACATAGAGAGTTTCAGGCCAGCTGGGGCTTAGGGAGACCCTGTCTCAAAAAGACCAAAAAAAAAAAAAAAAACAAGGGAAGAAAATAAAATTGATGAAAATTAGCATTTATTTTCATGCAAATTCATAAGTCTTTTTTTAATGTTTTGCGGAGACAGGTTCTCACTATGTAGTCCTGGCTGGCCTGAAACTTGCTGTGTAGACCAGGCTGACCTCAAACCCACAGAGATCCACCTGCCTCTACCTCCTGAATACTGGCATTAAAGGTGTGTGTCACCACACTCAGCCCTAAATTTGTATATCTTAAATGAGTTTGTGGACCCTACCTACATTAAGAACATTATCCTATAAATAGTTGTATGTATAAATACTGCAACTTTATTGCAGTATTAGGGTAGCAACAAATTTGAGGAAGAACCTAAAGATTCCTTAGTAGTAATATATAAATTGTGATATATTCAAAAATTTCATGCAGTATGTAAAAACCCATGTTGTTATGATAGATCCAAATTCAGGATAGTGTTGATTCAAGGATAATAAGGATGGGGAGTGCAGTGTTGTTACATAGGGGACTTTAAATTAAATGTGTAATGTTAAATCATTTAACAGTATGACAGACATTATTTTGCTTCATGCTGGGAATATTTCACTAAAGGATATATTCCATGCATATATAGAGATGGTTTCCATTTTAATTCATAGAACAATTCAGAATTTGTATATATGGATGTTGTCAAGGCACAAAAACAAATTGAATGCTTTCTCCATTCTTCTCAGATAGGAAATAAACTGGCTCCTTTCAGGTACCAAAAACTTTCGTCTGTGTGTGTGTGTGTGTGTGTGTGACTTTTAAAAATATCTTTTATTTAATTTTGTGGATTTTATACAATATGCCTTAATCATATTTACCCCCCCTTCCCTACAGCATCCCCCCCATAGTCTGCCCACAGGACTTCATGCATTTTGTCATCAAGGCCTAGTGAGTCAGTTTTGTGTACCTGGATATCCCTTGGTGTGAGTTCTATTTCCCTCTGGTTTTTCATACCACCTAGGTATTATTTAGCTCACCTCTCTCTCCCTCTCTATTCCTCCCTCCTTCTCCAGTTAAAGTACCCCAATTTTCCCCATTTTCCCCTTGATAATACCTGTCTCCTATGATTCCCCCTTCTCTTGAGCTCCATCTTCCCCTTTATCCGCATAGTTCCTAATATAACCCTTCCTCTCCCCCTCCCATTTAAATACTCCCATTTTAAGCATTTCCCCCTTGGTAAAACTTGTCTCCCACTGTTCCTCTCTGAGGTTCCTTTTTTCCCTTTACCTCCCTGGTTCCTTTCCATATTCCTGGCTCCTGCAGTTACATCTGATTATACTCACATATAAGGATTTGATGCTAGGATCCACAGATGAGGGAGAACAAACATTGTTTTTCTGAGTCTGTTACTTCACTTAGTACAACAGTTTCTAGTTCCATCCATTTACCTGCAAATTTCATGATTTCATCTTTCTTTACTGCTGCGTAAAGAAATTGTGTAAATGTACCACATTTTCATTATCCACTTGTCAGTTGAGGGACACTTAGGTTGTTCCATTTCTTAGCTAGCTATTGTGAAAAGAGCAGCAACAAACGTGGATGTCCAAGGATCTCTGCAGTAGGATGAATCCACCACATGGAGGCAGGATCCGGGGGCTCTTAGGCAGTCCCCTCCGTTCTCAGGCCCTTTGCCTGAAGGAGGCCAGAACTCTGCATTCTCTGGCTGCCTGCTGAGATCAGAGATGCTACACCGATGGAGGTCTGGTACCAAGAACTGTAAACATGCAATAAAAGCATTCTTACTAAATTAATTCTGATAACAGACTTGGTAGGTAATATTGTATATTCACAAAGAAAATTCTAAGTAGTGCAAAGATAGAACTTTGTTATTAGTCGGGTATGGTGGCACACACCTTTAAATCCAGCACTCGGGAGGCAGAGGCAGGCAGATCTCTGTGGGTTCAAGCCAGCCTTGTCTATGTAGTGAGTTCTAGGCCAGCTGGGCCTACAGGGAGACACTGTCTCAAGAAAAGACAACAAAAAAAAGACTTTAGTTATTATTAAGATCTTTTTTGCCGGGGCTAGAGAGATGGCTCAGTAGTTAAGAGGACTGGCTGCTCTTGTAGAGGACCTGGGTTCAATTCCCAGTACCCACAATGACTGCTAGCAACTATCTTTAACTCAAGTTCCAAGGGATCTGCCGCCCTCTTCTGGTCCCTCTGGGTATTGCATAACATGAGTGCACTTACATATATGTAGGCAAAACATGCACATAAAATGAAAATAAATCTGAAAAAAAATTTTTTTTTAAATATCTTTTTGCCTTCAAAACCCATGTCCATTCCAGGACATTAATTGCCTGTTTTTAACAATTGGCAACTGATTATGGAATTTAAAAGTTAGCTTCATTTTACAAAATTAGTTTGTTTTTTCAATACATATTAATAGTAATGATAACTAAAATCATTTCAAGCATGATTTTGTATTCCAGTTTTCTTTCCTTTTTTCAGGGATGGGGAGTGAAAGACTTATTTTTATTTTATGTGTACATGTTTTGCCTGCATGTATGCATGTGCACCATGTGCCTGCCTGGTGCCCACAGAGTCCAGAAGACAGTGTTGGATTCCCCTAGAACTGGAGTTATAGATGGTTGTTAGTCACCATGTGAGTGCTGGGAACTGGACCCCAGTCCTCTGCAGGAGCAGCCATCTCTCTAGCCCTATACTCTAATTTTCTTAAGTACCTATGTAGTCTGTTCTCATATTCTTAAGGCATACAAATGATTGTTATTAATATCCTATTCATTTCAGTGCTGTTTACCATGACTTACTACATATTTAGAATATTTTATTTTTTATTTAATTATTTTTTTGGAGACAGGTTCTCAAACTTAGAATCCTCTGTATCATGAGTCTTCCTTAGTGTTGAGATTGCAGATATATGCTATCATGTCTGTTTTATTTAGCATCTTAATACAGCTGTGTGATTTGTGTTTTATCATTCTAAATCACATTATTTTGGTTTTTCATTTTTAGGATCGAAAGTTAACAAAGTCTGAAAGGCAAAGATTCAAAGAAGAGGCTGAAATGCTAAAGGGCCTTCAACATCCCAATATTGTTCGATTCTATGATTCCTGGGAATCCACAGTAAAAGGAAAAAAGTGCATTGTTTTAGTGACTGAACTAATGACATCTGGAACACTTAAAACGTAAGTCCATTAATATTAAAAAAGCTGAGCAAGAATTTTGAGAGAATCTCTTGTTTTAGCTCTGCTTTTGTTCAGCTTCTAAGGCAGAAATACCCTTTTGACCATTACTGTATGTTTTCCTACCTACTAAATCATATGGTTTATAAAATGACATGGTAATTATTTCTTGGTAAGTACTGAAATTAAGTTATTACAGAATTAACTTAGTCATTTTCAGTTTTACTGTTTGGTATTTCTAAAATTGAGCCACTAAGGGATCAGAAATTAAATGTCAAGATTGCCCTCTAGTGGTTAAAATGAGATTAAAATCTATTGAGAAATGATATTTATTTTATCACATTATTGGTGTGGGTTTTTTGTCTTTTTTGCCACATCTGTGCAGCTGCAAATTGTGCTATGTGATTATCACTAAAGAATACTTTTATTCCTTTTTCTCATAGTACCAGAAATTAAAACTAAAATAGACCTATTATCTACTTAAGGGAAATAGAAAACAGGCAGAAATTCTATTTGCCTATAATAAAGAACTTTAAGAATTGGGATAGACCTTTTCAATTACAGGTCTCTTAGGGTATCTGTTTATTATATTGAGAGGAATCTTTTGTGAAGTACATAGTATAAGTTTGTTGTGGAGGAATTTAATTATGTTTATTTTTAAATTTTTTTTTATTTAT